GTTTCTATTAAGTTTATAGATTTACTCAGTTAGAGTTGCCATCTTAGCAATAAGTTGAGTCATTGTGGCAAGGAAATTGTGAGTCCTTTCATTTATGTGCATCTAGTTTTATGTTTCTCAATAGAGTTTTAAAGTTTTTGGCTTATAGATCCTGCATATATCTTGTTAGGTTTATTTCTACGCATCTTACCTTTTAAATTGTTGTAGTAAATGTCATCTTTCCCTCTTTTATATATTCTAACTAATTCTTACATCTATATAGAAAAGTTGTTGATTTCTGTATATTAATTTTATACCCTGATGCCTTACTGAATTTTCCCATTATTGGTATTTTAAAAATTGTTTATGATGAGGCTGTGCACAGTGGCTCATACCTGTAATCCTAGCACTTTGGGAGGCTGAAGTGGAGGGATTGCTTGAGCTCCCGAGTTCAAGACCATGGCAAAAACCTGTCTCTACTAAAAATACAAAAATTTGCCAGGCATGGCAGTGTACGTCTGCAGTCCCAGCTACTTGGGAGGCTGAGGCACAAGAATCACTTGAACCTGGGAGGCAGAGGTTGCAGTGAGCCCAGATCGTGCCACTGCACTGCAACCTAAGTGACAGAGTGAGACTGTCTCAGAAAAAAGTTTCTGATGAATTTTCCAGATAAATACTCATATCATCTATACATGATGAGAACCTATCCCCTTCTTCCAGTGTTTCCATCTTTATTTTATATTTCCATCTTTATGTCAAATTGCACTATTGCTTTCAGAACAATATTAAACATTAGTGAGGAAAGTGAGCACCTTTGCCTTGTTCTGGGTTTTAATGGATATACCTCTAGTGTTTTGCCATTAAGCACAATACTGACTTTTGACTTAAAAAAAAAGTCTGATGATAATGATGATATTATGGAAATAGACATCTTTTTCTGTTAGTTTTTTTTTAATCTGGAAATGATGTTGAATTGTTATCAAATACATTTTGGCACTAGGGAAATTGTTATATGACTTTTATTCTTTGATATATTAATGTTGTCAATTATATCAGTAGATTTTCTATTACTGAACCAGTCATATTTCTAGGATGAACCCCATTTGATCATGGTGTGTTATATTTCTTAACATCTCTTAGATTCTGTTTGCTAATTTTTTATTTAAGATCTTTGAGATGTTTTGCATTGGTCTCTAGTTTGATCAAATTTATCATTTTTTTCCTATCGTAACCTGTGGGTTTATATATTCTCATTCTTCTGCAATCAGTTTTGGTAATATTTGTTTTCATAGAAACACACTTTAAGTTTTCAAATTTGTTTTATGGGGTAGAGCAAAATATTCTCTTATCCTTTTCATTTACTCTGTAACTGTGGTTATTTCTTCATTTCTAATTTTGTGCTTTTGAATGTTTTTAAATTAGATTTGCAAGTGGTTAATCTGTTTCACTGTTTTATATTTTCTTTTGAGGAATTGGTTTTGGCTTTAATTATTAGTTCTATAATTTATTTTCAAGTATGTTATTTTCTGCCATTAGTTTTATTATCTGCTTTGTTTTAGGTTTATTTTTATGATTTTTTTGATTCTTGTATTCTTTTGTTGAATGCTTAATTCATTTATTTTGATTTGTTCATATGTACTCATATAAGTATTTAAGGCTACAGGTTTTTCTTTTCCTTTTTTTGAGACAGAGTTTTGCTCTGTCACCCTGGCTGAAGTGCACTGGCACGATCTCAGTTCACTGCATTCTCGGCCCCCCAGGTTCAAGCACTTCCCCTGCCTGAGCCTCCCGAGTAGCTGGGATTACAGGCGCCCGCCACTACATCCAGCTAATTTTTGTATTTTTAGTAGAGAGAGGGTTTTACCATGTTGGCCAGGCTGGTCTGGAACTTTTGGGCGCAAGTGATCTGCCTGCCTCGGTCTCCCAAAGCAGGGATTACAGGCGTGAGCTGCCATGCCTGGCCTACAAGTTTTTCTTTGACTACTGCTTTAGTCAACCATATCCTCTAGCTTCTGATATTTCCATTGTTGTAATTTAATAGGTATTCAACAATTTCAAATTAGATTTTCTCTTTGACTAAAGTACATTTTTTTCTGTTTATTTTCTATATACTAAAGATTTTTATTTTCATTTAGTTATTAACTTCTAGTGTTACCATATTGTCATTAGAGAATATGGTCTGTACTACTTCCATTTTCTAGCTCAGTAGATAGCCAATTAAAAATATATTCAATGGTTCCTTGATAAAGAAAAATACATAGTCTATTTCAGTGTATGAAGAAACTTAGATTTTGTCATTATCTTAGTTTTTGACTGTCATGATCTGTCATCAGCTGGAACAGTCTCATATTTTGTTTCTACTTTTTTTCTACCTTTGCATTTGCTATAGATTTTACTTTAAGAATCTTTATGTTATGCTTTTTGGTGCATAAAAGATGAGATCATGATCATGTGTTCTAGTCGTTAACATTATAGTGCCCTTCTTTATCTTATTTATTGCTTTTTGCTTTTAATTCATTATTTATGAAATGAGTGTCATAATTTATTTTTTCTTTAATTTTGACATTATTTCCTTTATTAAACATGTTTATTGAACACCCACTGTGTGCCTATGAATGAGACAGACAAGATCCCTGACCTCCTGGAGCTTACATTTTAGTTAGAGATTGGAACAGAAAATAATCAAGTAAAAATAGGTATGTGATATGATATCAGGTAGGGATGAAGATGAATACTCAAATAATAAAGTAGAATAAGGATGATTAAATATAAGTTGTGTCAATTTTAGATAAAGTAGTCAGGAAAGGCTTCTCTGCCTGGTACATGTTTGTCATTTTTTTACTTTCCACTTGTCCATCACCTTTTGTTTTGGTTTTGGTGTTTTTTTGTGAGGGAATACGCAATGTTGAACAGTTTGAACACAAGGGATTGTTATAATCATAATGAAGTATAAGTGTGCAAAAGCCCAAATAAGAAGATAGTGGGTATGTCTGGATATGAATCTCTGATCCACATGAGTGGTGAGCTAACCAGAATGGGGGCTGGATAAGAAGGGAATGAAGGATATTTTGTCTACCATTCTGTCTGAGTTTGGCTATCACTATGTGCATTATTATTTTTTAAAGAAATATTTCTATCTTCATCATGATTATTGAATGGATATTCTGTATGATGATTTAATTGAGCCCCTGAAATTTCCTGTCACTGGGCAGGACTTAGCATGATGCCGATTACTCACAGGCTACAGCAGGAAACAACATCCTGTGGCTTAGAGGGCTTAACTCTTTATACCCTGTGGCTAAAGAGATGTCTTTTAACTTTAGTCACTCTTTATTATACAGAACTTTGACTTTCTATGTATATTTAAATAAACCTGAACTTATTTTCCTTGGAGGTTTTCTTCTATTGTTTATGAGAGTCTTATTTCACCTCACAATGATAGTCTTTTAAATTTTTGGATTGGTTTTTCTTATGTTATATATGTGTATAATATATACACGTATAACATATATATTAAAAGTATAGACACATACACACACACACATGTATATCCATGACTCTTGATCTGGAATTTATTTTGCTATATAATATATGATGTAGCTCCAAAAAGCACTGCTTTACAGTTATCTCAAAAACATTTATTGAATAATATTTCTTTATCTCCTTTTTTGGGGAAGATTATGTATATGATATTTTTATAGGTAGTCTGCTTTGTTTCTGAACTTTCTACTCTGTTTTGTTGATCAATAACACAGTTTTAATTACGATTATTTTATGATATATTTTATTCCTTACTTGCCCCTTTCCTCATTTCTTCTGTAGCAGAATACTCTTTAATATTGTATCATGTTTTTATTACAAGTTAATTCTCTAAAAATTCATAGTTAAATTAGTTAAAAATTTCTTTTGAGAATTCTGACTGGAATTGCATTAGAAGGAGTTTTTTTTTTGAGACAAGGTCTTCCTCTGTCACTCTAACTGGAGTACAGAGGTGCAATGATGGCTCACTGCAGCCTTGACCTCTTAGGCTCAAGCTGTCTTCCCACCTCAGCCTCCCAAGTAGCTGGGAATAAAAGCATGCACCATCATGCCCAGCTAATTAAAAAAAAACTTAGAGATAAAGTCTTACTACGTTGCCCAGGCTGATCTTGAACACCTGGACTCAAGTGATCCACCCACCTCAGCCTCTCAAAGTTCTCGTATTACAGACATGAGCCACTGTGCCTAGCCAGAAGGAAATATTTTAAATCCCAAAAAGCAGATAACTATGACTTGTTTGGTGTTTTTTATTACAAGTATAAAAACATAGAAAGTATATATATCTAATTCATAATATAAGTTGCATCTAGAGAGGCAGTAGGGGAATGGAAGTGAGGAGTTATGCAAAGGATATTATTTCTTAAGAAAAATTCATGAAACATAAATGGCAAAGTATTCAGACTCACTAAGTGTGGGTGATAGGTAGCAGCATGGGTATCATGGCATTCAATCTCTGTATATCTCTAAATATATGAAATTTTTATAATGAAAAGCAAACAAAAACAACAGATGAGGCAGGATAGCCAGGCTTGTAAACCCTAGAAAACAGCACATGCAATCTGACTGCTATAAACAGACTGGGGTGTGTATATATCCAGACTTTGGAGCTAAAGTGTTCAAGTACAAATTCTAGCCCTACCACGTGCTAGCTTTATGACCCCAGGCAAGTTACCTCAACTCTCTATGCTTCAGTTTCCCCAACTATAAAATCAGTGCAATAGCAATAGCTACCTCCTAGGGTTATTGTGAGGAATAGATAAGACATGGAAACCACTTAAAACAGTGCCTAGCATTTAGTATATGCTCAGTAAGTGTTAGCTCTCATTATTATTGTATTATTATTACTATTACTATTACATTTACTATACATATTAAATTGTTTTGTGGACATTTTAAATTTTATATAAATGTTGTTATTTATATGACAACGGGCCTATCTGCAACTTGCTTGTTTTTCTCAGTACTCATTTGATGTTTTGCAGGGAAATGGCTCATTCCAAGAATAGCTTTTCGTGGGCAACCCCTTTCCATCCTTGCCCTGAGAACCCATCGCTGGACTTGTCAAGCTACCGGGCAATTTCTTCTCTCGACCTCCTTGGAGACTTCAAACATGCTTTGAAAACATCAGAGGAAACCTCAGTATATGAGGAGGGGAGCTCCCTTGCCTCCATGCCCCACCCACTGCGCAGCCGTGCCTTCTCAGAGAGTCACATCAGCTTGGAGCCCCAAAGCACCCGGGCCTGGGGGCAGCATAGGAGGGAGCTCTTTAGCAAAGGTGATGAGACCCAGCCGGATCTTCTTGGAGCCAGGAAGAAGGCCTTTCCTCCTCCTCGCCCTCCTCCTCCCAACTGGGAAAAGTACAGGCTCTTTCGTGCAGCCCAGCAGCAGAAGCAGCAACAGCAGCAGCCACAGCAGCAGCAGAAACAAGAGGAGGAGGAAGAAGAAGAAGAGGAGGAGGAGGAGGAGAGAGAAGAGGAGGAAGAGGAGCTGCCACCCCAGTATTTCAGTTCAGAAACCTCTGGTTCCTGTGCTCTCAATCCTGAGGAGGTCCTGGAGCAGCCTCAACCCCTAAGCCTTGGCCACATGGAGGGCTCAAGACAGGGTTCGCAAAGTATCCCAGCAGAGCAAGAATCCTTTGCACTCCATTCCAGTGATTTCCTGCCTCCAATAAGGGGTCATTTGGGATCTCAACCTGAGCAGGCTCAGCCCCCTTGCTACTATGGCATTGGTGGGCTTTGGAGGACATCAGAACAGGAAGCCACCGAATCCCCCAAGTAAGTACATGCGAAAGATACTAGGTTCCTGAAGAGGCAGGCAGGACAAGTTTGAATTTTGCCTCCACAATTTACTAACTGGATGACCTCAGTCTGGTCAATTAAATTGCTCCTAGCCTCAGTTTCCCTACCTGGAAAATGGGTATAATGATACCTGCTCCACGTCATTGATAATCTACATAAAGGATATAGCTCCATACTTAGCATATAGTAGGTGCTCAGTAAATATCATGTTCTTATTCCTAAATATCATTATTAATGTACTGTGTTTTTCCTTTGTGTGTCTTTACCATATCCATCAATTGCTGGCCCCTGATCTTAAAGGCATTGAACACTTGTTGCCTGTATTAGGTCTTTCCCAGAAACCTGGGTCAGGCACTTTTTCTGCCTTCTCTTCTGCTTACCCTCCAGAATAAGAGGCCAGCTCACAACGTGTCCTACCTCTGCTCCATGACAACTAGCTTGGGCTTCTAAACTCACCCCCCACCCACCACAATCCCCAACATCAAAGGTGTTCCTGGGGCTGGGTGCTTCATGCCTTGATAATCCTCACAACAGTTAAGGACTTTCTTTTTCTCTTCCACTTCCGCCCCCTCCTTGTTTACCTGCCTCTTTGCATTCATGTGGGTGGGTAATAAGTGGTAGCTGACAGGGTGAACTGCCTAGGCAGGGAGTGTGTTCTGGCAGCAGGACTGCCAGTGTTTATTCACTCCACAGAGCCAGTTGTCATCTGCATGCCCTACAGTGCATGGTTATTATTATTATTATTTCTTTTGCTCCAAAGCAAAAGCCCCAGGGCCATCATCGCTATTATTTGCTCAGTGCTTTGGCTGTCAGCGGCTCTTTCTGCTCTCCTGTGAAGAGTTCAGCCCACTATCTGCTGAGGCTAAGGCTGGGGAGGCAGGTGGCTTCTAACTGCTTTTTTTAAACTCCCTTTATAGCAGGAATTTGCCTGAGACTTGTTGCGGTTAGGAGTACCTTGTTAGCATGTATTTTATTGACAGCAAATCTGTGACTTGGCTATCTGGAGCTGGTTGATCAGTTTTCCAGCCTAAGATGCCGTAAGCACCACATCTACCGGGCCTGGCTCCCAGGCATTCTAAGAATCCTTCATTAGATCTCTTGTGGCTGCTTCTCAAGCTGTTCGTCTACCTAGGGAGCATTCTTATTGTAATGAGAAAACATTTTGTGAAAAGTACCTGTGATTGTTATCAATTATAGCAGAGAAAAGGGAAAATGAACTCCAAATAGGAGGCACTTAACAAATATTTAAGAAGAAAGAACAAATAAATGAATGGATGAACATTTATTAAGTATTTATTATATACCAGACACTCCTAGGCATTATATGTCCATTATTTCATTTATTCTTCCCAATAGCTGTATTAGCCATTATTATCCCCATTTCACAGCTGAAGAAATGAACTAAATTCCAAGTTACACAGCAAAGATGCAAAGCTAGAGCTATCTGACTCCAAAGCCCGTGCTTATTTTGCCTTCCTAGTCAGCCTCTCCCAGAGATATCTTGTTCTTTCTATAGGCCAGGAGTCACAGGGTCCTCTCCTCTCCTGTAGGGCAAGGTGTATCAGAGGCAGCATTAACAGACCCTGGTTCTTCCTTCTTTATGTAGCTCCATTTGCCTTGGCACCTTGGCCAGACAGAAATAAACCATTATTACTAAAGATCTTGTAGCTTGCTCCAGAAATTTATTTTTTAATGGCTGTGGGATGTAAGGGAAAACATTTGTGTGCACACAGCTCTGCTTGTATCTACAAAATCAATTAGATGCTTCTTTGAGTGATGGAGAGTTAAGGAACAGCATCGTTACCAACATAGCTAATATTTCTTTTTAACTACTTACTATGTGCTATGCGTTGTTCTAAGTACTTTTGTGTATTAATTTAATCATCAAAGTAAACTTATGAAATAGTTAACCATTCATCTTCTCCATTTCTTAGATGAGAAAAGCAAGGCCCAGGGAGATAAAGTAACTTTATCACAAGATCACAGGTAGCTACTGTGCTTGCTCTATCATGCCAGGATCTCTGGGCTCTTGAAGAAGATTCTATTCCAGACCCTAGGAGAGGACTGTGTCCTAGCCAGGAGGAAGCAGCTTTAAGATTTTGTAAGGAACATATAGATGCATAATATGTTGAGTCTAAAATGCAAACAAAGACATCTTAATTTCAGCCAAGTTAAACTGTGGTACCTCTATAACCTACTTACTTTTCCATTAAAAAATGCTGGGATACACACAGAAGTCAGTTAGTGGAATAATCAAGGATTATTTAAGTCTAATAACTCTGATTCAAGTATATGTACAGCTTGCTTTATGGACTCTGTGCATTTCCTCTCAGTGCTCTGTGAAAGGAATCTGATTTTTGCTTTGGTGTTTACTATTAAATTCCAATTATATTCTCATAGATCACCTATAATCCCTTCCCTGTTAATGGAGGTGATAAGGGAAGGATCCCTAGAATATAGTGCCTAATATGATATACTATAATATGATGCAGGGATGTGTATGCTGGAGAGCTGAGTCTCCAATTAGCACATCATTTTTTTTCCTTTGTAATACTTTCTGACACAGAATTTTCACACGTACCCTAAATATTTTCTTGTATATAGGAATTCCGTAAGTTCATATTCTCTCCAGAATATTCTCTATTATCTGCTAACATAGATATACTCCAGCCAGAAAATTCCTTACATGTAAGCTTTTATAAGATGTCAAGTTGTCCCTTTGGCAGTATAACATAGTGGCCAGAAGCACAGATTCTAGAGTAAGGTTGTCCAGTTGCAAATCGCAGGTCTGCCATTTAATGTCTGGTGGCCTTGAGGAAGTCACTTTACCTCTTGGTGCCTCGTGTTCCTTAGCTGTAAAATGGTTTTCATGAGCATTCAATTATATATTTATATACCTATGTGTGTGTGTATCTATCTTAGGATGGTTTCTGGGGCATGGTAAGTACAGTGTGCATGTTAGCTGGTATTGTTCTTTTATTAGTGTTACAAGCTTGAAACGTATATAAATGAATTTACCTAGGATGAAGAATATTGCTATGCCCAAATTTCTTCTGTGTGATGAATTAGAAGACAGCATAGCATGAATCAGTAAATAGCTGTGGAGCTTTTTAACCATTATTTTTGACCTTTATCTAAGAACTGCAAATAGCTGCAAAAATGACTAATGAGTGTCTCCTCTTTTCCCTTTCAAACAGCTAGAGGTTAGCGAAGGGGTAGTGCTATAGACAGGTGGAGGGTGGGAGTGGCTGCCAGGCAACAAGAATATAGTGAGAATGGATCATCCCCCTAGCATAAACCATGGGCAAAATCATTTACCCCTCCATCACTGAAACCTGACATTGTAGCATTTTTCTCTACTTCCTTCCTCACACCAGACCAGAAGCTTTGATGGCAGAAGAAGCCAAACCTAAGGCAGCATGGATCCAGAACTACATTTTTCTGAGTAGAAGTTCTCTTTCATGGGCTGGGTCTCTGAGAAGCAACTCCTCAGCCCCACAGGCTTCGGTAAACCCAAGACAATAGGGTCTGCTGTTACACTTGTGAAGCCCCTGGGTGCCACTGGTTCCATTTTTTCCCCCATTTAATTCTATAACCATGGAGGAGGCTGGGGCCATTGGAAATATGCCAAAATTGGAGAGATGCAATCCCTTCTCAGGCTGAAGGTCTGCCCTATAGCAGGCAATGTCAGAAGAGCTCATGAGAGATGTGGTGGGCCATGACAAGTCCCTGGCAGGGGTGCTTAATATGGTAACCACTGTTGAGGTCATGGGTGACCTCTTTGCCATGGGAGATCTGTAGCAGAGGGTCCATTTCAAGCAGGAGTGGCATTGGAAAAGAAGAAATGATGAGAGTGTCCAGGAAAGCCACAGGGTGCCTTTGTAAGCAAGCAGACTAGATAGAGCTAGGGTGGGTGAAGGTGTAGGGGCCTCTGAGGGAGGCCAACAGGTTTGGAGAACCCCATAGCTAAGGTATCAGATACTTCTCTACCACCTAGCCCCTACTTTGAGATCCACATACTGGGGCCATGAACCAAAGGGATGATAATCAGAAGCCCAGAACTTTTAGGGCCTGCCAGTTTTTCTGGATTTTAATTGAGTGTTAGTGATGAAACCAAATTATCTTGAAAGAAGTCTCCCTAGCTGGTGAAGTCAGAGGCACGGCAATAGCCTTCTAAGTTCTTAAAATTTGCCTTTACCTGACTCCAGTTTGCCTTCATGTGGCCTGTTTACATTTGAACAGGGTCTTTCTTGTCCATTTATTTTTCAACTCCTTGGTGAAGCAGGGTTCCATTTTTCAGATGGAGAAGTTAAGAAGCAGAAATGTCAGCAGCCTCTCAACAGTGGTGCTCAAATGGTCATTCTTTGTTTCCACAGACAAGAGTTTCAGCACTTTTCGCCTCCTCCAGGGGCCCCAGGAATCCCTACCTCTTACTCAGCTTATTACAATATTTCTGTGGCCAAGGCAGAGCTGCTGAACAAACTGAAAGATCAACCCGAGATGGCAGAGATTGGCTTAGGAGATGAGGAAGTTGACCATGAACTGGCTCAAAAAAAGGTAAAGTTTTTTGATGTGTCCTAGAGATTTTCACAATTTAGCTTGAATGCGTCTGGAGGATGACCAGCCTTCTACACTCTCTAGAACATCTCGCATTCCCATATTTTCAGTATGGAAATCATACAGCCTCTCTGGGTTTCTTACAGATCCAAGCCCACTCTATTTTTGATCCAGTCGATAATAATAATAGTCATAATCATCATTATTGTCTCTGTGATCCTTAGAACAACCCAACAAGGTAGATTGGGTATTTTTAATAGTTGAAAGGACTAATTTGCCCAAGTACAGACTAAATGGTAGATCCAGCACTTGAAATCAAGACTGTCTGAATTTCAACTCTACAGTACATGCTGTCTCTCTGAATTGAGCCAGCCTTGTAATTAACTCACTACTCAGGGCACATCAGAGCTTCTGCCAGTGGGCTCTTGTACCCAATGGCAGTGCCATTGATTTTTATTCTTGTGTAACTTTCTGGGAGACAGAACAGACTGAGTAAAATAAGGACAAATTGTAGGCTGGCAAACTTTAGTGTTTATTTGCAAAGATAGTCAATTATGTCTTAAAAATACAAAATAGTTAAATGGGGATGATGATGATGTTGTTGTTCCAAAGCTTTCCTTTCTTTGTCCAAGTACCACTAGTCTGGTTTTCTAATGAATTCTTGGAATTACTTTGCTCTCCCTGCACTTACCTATTGTATTTATTTCGTAAGCAAATAGGGTTGTCATGGCAACCTCAAAGGCTCAATTTGCCTCTTTGTGGACATCTGAACTCGATGTAAATTGATCTTCTGCCCATACTTCTTTAAGAACATGACCTGTAGGAAGGTACACGGCCATATGCAAGAGCCCTTCTTCCAATTTCCTATCTGAAGCAAAATGTCAGGGGAAGAATTGGAAGCATGGTAGTGTTGAAGTTTTACTGATTCAGTTATCTGTTTCCTTGTATTCCATGTTCTGTGAGCATGGCAGGGGTTCTCCTAGCTTACTCATGGCCTGGCCTCTGCAGGGGAAAACCTAATAAAAAAAACTCTGACCAGGAAAAGAGAGAGATGATCAGAAATGTCAGAGCACAGAACAACAGAAAGTGAACTGAAGTGATTGTAGGTGGGCTATGACAATTTTTGTCTCTGAGGAAGGAAGGTGAGGAATGTCACCAATTTGAGATGTCCCAGAAAAAGCAACTTAGCTCTGGCTGGATTTATGATGACTCCACAACTCTATCCAGTACACTTCTTTAGGATTGAGGTTCAGGTTGTGGAGCACAAGTCCCAAGAAATAAAGCGCTCTCACCACTTATCCTTTCATCTATTCCTGGAGCCTGGGAACTGGGGTGGATAGGTGATTTTCCAAGTGGGTCATTTTCCAGATGGCCTCCAGCCATCCTTTGTCCCCAGCATTGACTTTTATTTGGGAGTGTGAATATAACTGGCAGCCTTTTAGCATCTAATTGTGTTGCCTCATTCATATCACTGATACCCGGTTCCCAGTGGGTTTTGGAATTTTCCCTAAATGAATATCTATTATACTTCAGACTGAGATGATAATGATCTCCTGACTTTTGAAAGGTTCTAAAATATGGCAACAGGTCTTGGAACCTGGAGAAGGCTGTCTTAGCCCTGGTCACTTTGGACATTTCTAAATAAACTACTAGAGAGGAATATATTCTAGAAAACTATAAGCCTATGGTTCCTGTGCTTGGACTAGAGAAAGATTAAAACATACACCGAAGGATATCCCTATGTACAAGATACTATTCTAAACATGTAACATGTGTTAACTTACTTAATTCTCATAACAATTCCGTGAGGTAAGTCCTATTGCTATCCTATTTTTTAGATGTGGAAATTGATGTGCAGAGAGGTTGAGTAATTTGCTCAAGTTCATATATAATACCATTACTTTGCGTCAGAGCAGGAGTTCAGACTCTGGTAATCTGGCACTGGAGTCTGTGATCTTAACCACAATGCAATACTGGCTACAAAGGCTATGGGCAGACTGGGACAGGGCCATTATTGTCATAACCTTGAAGCTAGACAAGTATCCATTCGTTTGGAGTATGTTGTAGAACTAAATAATAATAATAGTATTAGTAAACACGCATTGAGCATTTAAGTGTCAGTCATAATACTAAGTCTTTTACTTATGTGGTTTCCTTTAACCATCAGAAAATCTCGAGTTGGGGAAGTGTCTACAGATGAAGAAACAGAAGTCTTAGTGGGATTAGGTATCTATCCTAAGGCCATACAGTTTGGAGGTAGAATTGGAATCCAGATGTCTCTGACTCTAAAACTCTACTGTACTTCCCTGTGGCTGCACTCACCTATAAGGGAGACAAATCAGAAGACACAGGCAGCACTACCCTTAAGAAACTTACAATCAACAGCAGGTGAGGGATCAGGCACACACACAGAATAGAAAGTGAAGAACTTCAAATTACACTGTAGGGTTCTAATTCTAAAATACTTAAAAGCTCAGACAAAAAAGAAAGATCACTGAGAGAAGACTTACAGAGGAGGGGTTCCTGTGGGGGAGAGAAGGGGCAGAGCTGTCCCCTAAAGAAATTTAGGAATAACCAAAAACGAAGAAAGAGATAAAGAATAGGTGGAACTGCGTAAACTACTCAGGAACACAAGAATGAGTGTTGTGAACACAGCGGAGAGTGAGGAACTAATTCTGAAATACTCTGAGGAGTGACATTAGAATGGCAAGGTGGGGCCAGAGTGAGTAATAAATAACAGCAGCACAGCTTTTATGGAGCACTTACTATGGGCCAAGCACTTTGCATGCATCACCTCATTGACTCCTTTTTATGACCCAGTGCAGTGGGTACAGCAGTTACCCCCATTCTACAGATAAAGAAAATGAAGCTCAAGAATGTCAAGTCACCCAAGGTCCCACAGCTAGGAAGTGACAGAGCTAGAAGTCAAACCCAGTCATTATAACTCCAGAACTCACAGTCTTATCCAAAAGGCCTCAGAAGCCAAGCTGAGGAAGCAAAGACCTAGCACAGTACCATGAACATGAGGTACTTAAATGGATTGAAGGGGAATGAATGAAGTGATAGGCAAATACCTTAGGGCAAATGCTTTTCCAACCTAGGCTCTCACAAGGACTATAGCTCCTATTTACTAAATAGTCCCAGGAAGCGACTAGGTACGGAGGCTCACGCCTGTGATCCCAGCATTTTGGGAGGCTGAAGGGGGCTGATCACTTGAGGTCAGCCTGGCCAACGTCATGAAACCCTGTCTCTACTAAAAATACAAAAAGAAAAAATTAGCCTGACATCTATGGCATGCACCTGTAATCTCAGCTACTGAGGAGGCTGAGACACGAGAATTGCTTGAACCTGGAAGGTGGAGGTTGCAGTGAGCTGAGATCACGCCACTGCACTCAAGCCTGGGTAGCAGAGTGAGACTCTGTCTCAAAAAAAAAAAAAACCAGTTCCAGCAAGTATTTATTATATTAAGTTGCATTTGGTAGATGAAGCTTATCGTATGAGTATCACTTACCCAATGCCAAAAAGTTTGGTGGTGACATGGAGATCCCTACCAGACGGAAAGAAGGTGCTTGCCCAAAAGACTGGAGTTGCTCATGACTTGCCCACGTTTCCTTTGTTTCCAGTGACTAGGACAGAGCCCACTGTCTCTTCCTTGTATTCCAAAACAGAGGTTACAGGCACAAATCAGCTTCTGTTGGTCCCCATTCTCATCCTTTTCTTCTGTTTAATTCCCCTAGGTACAGCTTATTGAAAGCATCAGCAGAAAACTTTCTGTCTTACGGGAGGCCCAGCGAGGGCTGCTAGAGGACATCAATGCCAATTCTGCCCTTGGGGAGGAGGTGGAGGCCAACTTAAAAGCCGTCTGCAAATCCAATGAATTTGAAAAATACCACTTGTTTGTTGGGGACCTGGACAAAGTGGTCAACCTGTTGCTGTCACTCTCTGGACGACTGGCCCGGGTAGAGAATGCTCTCAATAGTATCGATTCAGAGGCCAACCAGGAGAAGGTAGAGTTGGGGTTTCTGGGGTATGGGTAGGTGGAAATGCCATTTGTTTCTTCTCATGGCTCTCTCTTTCAAAAAGTTGGGCTAAATGGGAAACAGTAGAGGATAGGGTTAAAAGTGTGTGAGCACTGAGGACAGGCGTGGTGGTTCATGCCTGTAATCCCAGCACTTTGGGAGGCCAAAATGGGCAGATTGCTTCAGTCTAAGGGTTCAAGACCAACCTGGGCAATTTAATGAAACCCCATCTTTACTAAAAACACAAAAATTAGCCTGGTCTGGTGGTCCATGCCTATAATCCCAGCTCTTCTGGAGACTGAGGTGGAAGGCTTGCTTGAGCCTGGGAGGCAGAGGCTGCCATGAGCGAAGATTGTGCCACTGCACTCCAGCCTGGATGACAGAGGAAAAAAAAGAGAAACATGAAAAAAGGAGAAACAAGAGTGAACACTGGCTTTTAAGTGCCCTGAAATTCTTGCTCTACCATTTCTTAGCTGTGTGACTGTGGACAACTCACGTAACGTTACTCTGCGTCAATCTCTTCATCTATAAAATGGGGTGAACATACTTCCTGCCTTACGGGATTATTGTGAGAATTAAATTAGTTTATGTTAATTACATAAAACAGGGCCTGGGACAGGGTAAACACTGAATCAATACTAGCTCCCAGTAGTAGTAGCAGCAGTATTGGAGGGGTAGGTCTCATCAAGTAGTTGATATTGGAAAGCTGTCGGTTTCACAGGTTGAGTCACTATGCATCTATTCCTGAACCAAAATTGCATCACCTTTTTCTATACAAGTGGCTTTGGATATACCTTTGAATCCACAGCAAGAGGCACATATGCACATACATATACATATATACACAGACACATACACTCACACATATCCACTCACACAGAGACACACACACCATACAGAAAGCACCTCCACAGTGACAGTTGTTCACCAGATTAAAGGGACACAGGCTGGCTTTGTCTGAGCCTTCCTCCACCCCAAGCCCAGTGGTGGTCCCTACATTGAAGACAGCTTTAAAGAGATGGAAAGAGGTGATTTCACATCCCCTGTCCAGAATTGTCATGCTTACCCTCCTGCTAGTGGAAACAAAGGCTTTTGCATGGAGGTGGACTTTAGGGCAGAAAATCTAGGACTGACTAATTAGCAGAATGGATAGCTGCTTTGTGGCAGCATCTCTGGTGGAGTACTGCTAGACAGCACTGTTAGACAGATGCCTGGTAGTTGGAAGAGCCCTTAATTGGTCTTCTGCTTTCCCAGTTGGTGCTGATAGAGAAGAAGCAGCAGCTGACGGGGCAGTTGGCAGATGCCAAGGAGCTGAAGGAGCATGTGGACCGCCGGGAGAAGTTGGTGTTTGGCATGGTCTCCCGCTACCTGCCTCAGGACCAGCTCCAAGATTACCAGCACTTTGTCAAGATGAAATCTGCTCTCATCATTGAACAGCGAGAGCTGGAGGAGAAGATCAAGCTCGGGGAAGAGCAGCTCAAATGTCTCAGGGAGAGTCTACTCCTGGGGCCCAGCAATTTCTAATTCTGCCAGCAGTCTGCCACAGCATCCCTGCCCAGCCACAGTGGGAAGTGCTTTCAGTCTTCTTTGTTAGCAGTTTCTCAGCAAATAGATAGCAATTAGCAGTTTCTTCCAGCCCTCTACCCTGGATGTCTCTCACGGCCCCTTCCCTAGCAGTGGTCCTAACCAGTTAGGAGACCTTGGGGAAGCCACAGACCTCTACCCAAGGGAACTGCGGCAAGGTGTGATCTTACAGCCACACTCTCCTTCCCACAGTTGCCAAGGGCAAGTACTCGCTGCACACAGAGCCAACTAAGTGCCTTCATTCTGCTTTGTACTAGGACACCAAAGACATCAAGTGCTCATCACCCACCCATATCATCAACAGGCTCAGAGGAAAGCTTCCTTGCAGCTCTGCTCTGCCCCAGGGCTTGTGGCCCAGCCATTACTCACAGAGAGCTGGCTGCCTTGAGGGCATTCACCTGGCACCAGTTTCAGGGCCTCATCCAAGCTTTGCAGGGAAAAGCACAGAAGGAGGAATTATACTGAACAAAATGCAAGCAAACGTTGTGTATTCCCAGGTGACCCTTAGGAAGGAACCAGGTTTAAATCCACTCTACCCTCACCTTTCCCAGCAGCAAGTTCAGGGGAAGAGTCCTACTCTTAGCCTTGGGTAGTATGACCTTCTTCCTGTCCTAAGACTTTGGTTCTACCACCTCTTGTTTCATCTTTCCTTTTCATTGCTGGGGGTTACCCCAGGTGCCTACCCCAGGGCTTCACCATATGGGCCATTAATAGCTCTACTAAAACTGACTTTTAGATACAGGTTTCATTATTGGGGGAGGTGGTTCTTATTGTTATATTTTAAATGACATTTTGTTTTTATTTATTTTTATGTTTTGATTATTTTTTTTCTTTTTAAACTAGTAAGGAGAAAAGAGGGACGTTGGAGAGGGAAAAGTTAGCCCAGAAGGAAAGCATTTTCTGCAGATCAGCCGGAATCCACCGTGGCTAGGTAAGCAGGTACCAAGGTATAGAATTGTTCCCACCATAGCTATCAATGTCTAGGAATGAGATCTCCCCTTGAACTTAGAGCCTCCCTACTGTGGCCTGGCCCTGTGCTTCCCTGAAGTCTAAGTGACTGTGAGTTTAGCATTCCCCAGCAGGGTTCAAGTTTTTCTTACTGAGTTCTTTTTGAAACCAAAGAAATCTCCTGAAACAGAGAAAGGTTCAGCCATTTCTCTACCATCTCCAAGCTATGGGATGAGTAGAGGTGAGCTCAGGAGGACCTCCTCTAACCATTGCTTTCTCAGCATGTGGCCTGGCTAAGGGGAACCAAAACTCAAGGTAGCTTGGAGCTCCAGCCAAAACCAGCTCCCCAGAGCAGCTGATGACCCAGCCAGGATCTTAGGCATGCAAACAATTAAAACTGCTGCTGTTGCCAAGGCCCTGGCACCAGTAGCTAGTTTCTATGCTGGAAAGGCAGCCCTCAGGTGGACGATGGACAAAAGGGGGTTATGGTCATATGCTGCCCTGTTATCCAGCTCAGCTGTTTCTTACTAACTGCGGCCAATACTTGGTATTATGCAACCCAGCCAAGGCCTGGCATCTCTGCTAGTTACTGCTGAGTTCCTCGGGGTCCTTGAAGGTCAACTGTAGCAGCGGGGATGTCTCCTTCAGCCAAAGAATTTACCAAGGAAGTTTTGCTGCTGTTACAAATACTTTTCACTAGCTTCCATTTCCTCTTCATTGTATTTGAAAACAATGGGAGAATCTTGGCCAGCAGGGTGTCCTGGGGTGGGGGGTGTGGTAAGCCTTTCTGTGGAGCTCTGGGTTTGCTCTTAGTACTGCTGCTGGAAACACTGTTAGAATGGCAACCCTGCCATTTTCCCCTCCAGTGGAAGATTCTACTTTATTCAGGAAGGCTGGTGGCTTGCAAGGTCTAGGCTTACACAAGCCAGCCAAGATTGAGAAGGTAGGGGAATGCTTTGAATGGAGGCCATAGTTGTTATCTTTTCTTCTGAGCAGGCTCTAAGACAAGCAATGAGCAAACTGATGTGTCCTATATTGGGAAGATGAGGCTGATATGTTCCATCATTCTCAGATTTGTTGATTAGAACAACTTTTTGGTAATATGGGCCTATGGAAAGGAATGATCACTTACTTGGACACTATGGCCATAGTCTGAGTTTTTCTAGTCAGCATGTGATTGGTTGTACCTTAAGTTTATGACGCCAAAAATACTATTGACTCTGTTATTTTTGTTCTTCATCCCACCTCAAATTAGTTTCTAGAGTTGGAATCAGATCACAAAGATGTTCATTTTCACATGCAGGGAAAGTTGCCAAAGCACCTGAAAATAACCCCAAAGCTATACCTAGCAGTGAAGCTCAGTAGATAAAGGTGAACTGCTGAACAGACACTGGCATGCCACACTCCTGCCAGGGCAGACTCATTGTGTGTGACAGTGCTGCAAAGCTGCCAGTATTACTTGAGATGCAGTGTCTCTCCCCTGTTCTCAGTTCCTGGGCTCAGCCCTCCTCCAAGCCCTGCCAGTGAGAAGCAGTTTGGAAGGCAGGCCAAAGGAGATCCCCAAAGACAGTTATTAGTCTTGACTTCTGCTCTCTCCCTTCAAATATTTATACAGGCCCTCAGGGATAATAGGCAAGCATGATGGTTGATAGAGAAGTCAGTGTATGAGTTACTATCACATGTCCCCCCACTTCCCCTGCCACCTGCAAGGGCTCTGGATAATTGAGTCTCCCTGAGTCCCATAGCTGGAGACTCAGCCAGGATATAGCCGGTAATGCCCAAGTAGAATCCGACAGAAAAAGACAGAGACGCTGAAAATAAAGTCCTAGAAAGGAAGAAATTGGAAGCAGAGAAAAGGAGAGAAGATGAAAAGATGAAAAGCCTTTTTCAAGGTTAGGTTCAGGTTCTGTTTTCTATTTAATCTCATGTGCCAAAAAGCTGCCCAGGCACACCAGAGCCGCATTCTGAACCCAAGTCTCCCTGAAGGTGCTGCTCTGCCAGTAGCAGGCCCCAGATGGAAGAAGCTGGTCCCATTTCTGGCCACTTCCACCCATTTGGAGCTTGGTGACTCCCACTGTCTTTGCCAGAGGAGTTGTCTATGCCAATAATATTTCTGCAACAACATATTATATTATTTGAAGATTAGTAGATCTTTTAGAGGGGGGTGGGGCAGGGGGCAGTTTCTATAGATAAAGAACTAATGTTGGTTGTACAGCTGTTGGGGGTCATGTATCCCATGTGAAGCTATTCTTTTTCCAAATCTTATTGTTTCTGCATTTGTGTCCTCCACCACTCCCTTCTTGGCTGACATAGATATGCCTGCCAGATTGTCATCAAGGGTCATATTTCAATAAAAGGTGCTAAGGACAATAAAAATCTCATGTGTTTTGACTCAGGTGATGGAAGTCTAAAGATTCTGCTGAAAATTCCCCTTCATATGACCGGACCCTTACCCACATCCCTAAACCCTTACTCTGGCCTCTGAGGGATGGTATTAATGATATACCATTCATCATCCCCAGTTAAATAGCAGGATCTGCCATAGCCTTTTTAGAGGAACAACTTTTAGACATCTATTTCAAGAGCACCCTGAAGAGGGAACACAGAGTTTAAACCATTGGTTATTTGTATTGTTATCGCAGTATTGAAGCATGGTATTTTTCTCATGACCTCAAGAACACAGCCCTGCCCTTTAGCTCACTGATATATTTCTTTCTCTCTGGTTAGTCAGTGGCAACATCACAACCAGTCTAACCCCATGCTTAGAATGCAGAAAAAGTCAACGATGGTGTAATCTCAGGTATAGACCTAAGCAGTAGAGAGTCCAATTCTGGAATCTAGCCTGATTGCAGGTAAGCCACGTTCTTTCTAGACTTCTTCTAATCTTGAATTCTTTCTAGTAGTTTCATCTTACTTTTAGCTGATACTCCAATCTCACACCTTCACTCTCAGCTCCCTGGAAAGCAAGGGTCTTGCTGATCTGCTGCTCTCCAAATCAGCCTCAAAGATTAGACTCAAATGTATTCCAGGAAGCAACTCTGACATTGAAAAGCTTTCTTTTTTGTGATGCATATTCTGTTCACATTCCAACTATCCTCCTCTTACTCAAGATATCCAGTGTGGTAGAGTAGAAAGAGTGCAGCTTTGGCATTAAAATTAACTGTTCAAATCCTGGTTCTGCCACTTATTCAGTGAATCTAGGCTACTAGCTCAACTACTGAGGTCATTTTCTTGTCTGTAAAATGGGAACAGTATTATCCAGCTTGCAGAGTTATTGTAACCCAAAAATAATAAATAAAAGCCACTAACAATCCAAGTAATTATTAGGCAGAATCCCAGGCCCACCCCAAACTCAGTGATAGCAATCTGAATTTTAACTAGAGTTCCAGGAGAGTCATGTACATATTAGAGTGTGGGAAGTACTGACTTGTCAAAAAAGTATTCAGTACCTGGTAACCATTATTATAGTCCTGATCTGCTAAATTCATTTTTTCCTTATCCCAGGCATATTTTTGCTCTTCTCATATTGCTCACAACTACCTGCCTGGATAGTTTTGAATTCAGCAAAGTTGCAGGATACAGGGTTAAAACACAATATCAAATGAACAATCCTAAAATGTTATTAAGAAAATAGTTTACATAGCATTAAAAAACAAAAAAATAGGAATACTTTGACAAAAGAAGTGCAAAACTTTTACACTGAAAACTGTAAAACATTCTTGAAAGAAATTAGAGCAGATCTAAACAAATGGAAAAGCACTCCATGTTCATGGATTGGAAGACTTAGTATTGTTAAGATGAAATGTACCTCAAATTGATCTACAGATTTAATCCAATCCTTATCAGAATTCCAGTGGCTTCCTTGCATAAGTTGACAAGCTGATTCTAAAATGCATATGGAATTACAAGGCACCCAGAATAGTCAAAAAATCTTTAAAAAGAACAGAGTTGAAGGGCTCATACATATTAAAACTTACTGCAAAGCTACAGTAATCAGGACAATGTGGTAAAGGCACAACAATAGATGTATCAATAAGTGGAATTAAGTTGAGAATCCAGAATAAATCCTCACGTATGTAGCTAGTTAATTTCAGCAAGGATACCAAGAGAAATTGAGGAGAGCATAGTTTTTTAACAAATGGTGTTGAGATAACACTGGTTATCTACATGGGAAAAAAATGAAGTTTTTCTTAAATCACATGCAAGAATCAAGTCAAAATTGATCATAAAATGTAACAGTTAAAATTAAAATTCTTAGAAGAAAACATTGTAAGTCTTCCTAATATCACACACATGACAATGTCACACACGTCATACAAGAAATACAAATACATTGGAGCATATCAAAATTAAAAACTTTTGTACTAAAAAGATTTCACATCAAAAGAGTGAAAAGAAAAGCAACATAATGGGAGAAAATATTTGCATATCAAATATTTCGAATATAAAAAGGACTCTTACCACTCAATGATAAAAATAACCAATTAAAAATGGGTAACAGATTGTAATAGGCATTTCTTCAAAGAAAATATGTGTCTTAGTATGCATGGTTTGCTATAATGTACTACCATAGACTGATTGGCTTAAATAACAAACATTTAAACATTTATTTCTCACAGTTCTGGAGACTGGGAAATCTGAGCTCAAGGTGCCAGCAGATTCAATGCCTTGTGAGGGCCTACTTCCTGGTTTGCAGATGGCTACCTTCTGGCTGTGTCCTCAGGAAAGACAGAAAGGGATCTGGTCTCTTCCCCTTCTTATAAGGGCATCATAATTCACTATGAAATCACTCTTGTGATTTCATCTAAACCAATTTACCTTTCAGAGGCCCCACCTCCATATACCATCACATTGGTGATTAGTTCTTCAGCATATGAGTTTGGAGAGGACACAAACATTCAGCTTATAGCAATATGCAACTGGCTAGCAGGCACGGGCATAGATGCTCAAGCATTACTATTCATTAGGGAAATGCAAATCAAGACCACAGTGAGATACCACTTCATACCCACTAGAACAGCTGTATCAAAAAGCCAAACAATAATAAGTGTTGGTGAGGAAATGAAGAAATTGGAACACTCATACATTGCTGATGGGGATGTAAATTGATGCAACCTCATTGAAAAACAGCTTGGCAGTTTCTACAAATGTTAAACATAGAATTTCCACATGACTTAGCAATTCCATTCCTAGGTATATGCCCAGGAGAATTGAAAACAGGTTCAAACAAAAGCATGAACATGAATGTTTAAAGCAGCATTACTCATAATGGCCAAAAGTAGAAATGACCCAAACGTCTATTTACTGAGGAATGGATAAAGAAACTTTGACATATCCATACAGTAGGGTATTATTTAGCCATAAAAATGGATAACGTACTGACACATACAACATTGATGAATCTTGAAAATATGCTAAGTGAAAGGAGCCAGTCACAAAAGACCACATATTGTATGATTAAATTTATATGAAATGTCCCAAACAGGCAAATCTATAAAGGTGGAAAGCAGATTAGTAGTTGTCAAGACTGGGGGTTCAGGGGCAATAGACATGGGGTTTCTTTTGGTGGTGATGAAAATATTAAAAAATTTTAGATTGTCATCATGGTTACCCAACTAAAAAATTTTAGATTGACAATCATTAGATTGTCATCATGGTTACCCAACTCTGTGAATGTACTGGAAACCATTGAAGTATACGTTTTAAGTGGGAGCACTAAATGGTATTTGAATTATTTCTCAATATGTGTTTTTTTTTAAAGCTATTGATTATTTCTATCAGTCTCATTCCTCTTGACAAAAATCTGAGTTGAGGGTGAGCATGTACTTCATTCCTGAATCCAAAGGGTACAATATTTGCACCATTTGAATTTGGGAGTGACTTTGCTATTGCAACCTTCCCCTTGAAGACCTGGAAGACCCAGCAGCATAAGGAGAAAGAGTAGTCTCTGCCTTGTACTAAGACTTCAGCGAAAATAAGAGAGATGGGAGGGACTACCATTGGGAAGGAGGAGCAATCTTTCTAGGTAAATATTGTGGTAGAATGGATAAGAACTTTAGCTTATCCAAGTTTCAAATAAACCAAGTTTCAAATCCTGACCACCGACTTATTGTGTCACCTTAATAAGTTACTTGACTCCTCTCAGCCTTCATCTATAAAAGGGGGCTAATAAAAGCCCCACCTCAAAGTATTACTATGATGATTAAATGAGATAATTCATATGAGCACTTAAAATAATGTCTGCCATATAGTAGGTGTTTAATAAATGTTAGCTGCTAGATTTATTTTTATTGAGGTGAGATTGAAGTAGAACAATGTAAGGAAAAGTAAAGCATCTTCAGCTTTGGAGTCAGATAGGTCTGTTAATGTGACCTCCAAAGTCACTTTATTGAGCCTTAGCAAATAATGAGGATAATAATCCTTCTCTTATGGAGGCAGTTCCAAGCCTGGACACTGAAACTCATACCACATAGGCTTTCATACTGGCTTCACCACTTAACACATTGTGTAACCTTGAGCATGTTTAAGTTTCCTGTACCTGGATGTCTTCTTCTGTCTAAAGATGGAAAGAAAAATAATCCTTGGGTTGATGTCAGAAATTATTGAGTTAATCAATGCAAAGTACTTGGGACAATAAGTACTCAATGAATGCTACCTTTTATTATAAAGCTAAAGTTGGAATCAAATGAGATCTCTGGTAGAGCTGTTCATATGGTAGGTTCTCCATAGATGATGGTTCCTTTCCTTACCTACCCTGTTCTGTGCACCAGGTCAAGACATTTTTGGACCTGCAGGTAAAAGGTTTCAGCCTTGGGAGCTCCCCACCTTCTGTGAGTAAAATTTTCTGGCAAGCTCAGTACTACCATTTGATGAGAACAATGTAGTCTGTCAGCCACCTGCCAGATGACTCTCTCTACTCCCAAGAAAACAACCCATTCAGAGCAATAGAGAAAGAACTGTTTTGCATGTGAACCACTTACTTAAGGTCCAATTTGAGGCTTGTTTAGGGAAAACATCTACTCCTCAAACCTATCTTTAGGCTTAAAGTCAACTTAAATGTTATTGAGTTTGCTACCCTGGGTTAAGCACTTTCACATATCTTTGCTGATACTATTTTTTCTATCTAAATATACATTTTTAAAACAGAAATCCTCATTTAATCTTTAAAACAGCTCTGTGATTTTTAAACACTTTATTTAATTAAAATTCAGAATTGTAGCATTTTTGCTGTTTGTAAAGTAAACAAAATGGATTGTAGTGTGCAGTGCCATTCATTGATTCAACTCATGTGCCAAGAATTTGTTTTCTGGTCCAGGGATTCAGAGGTGGACAAGACAGATAAAGTCCCCACTCTCGTGGGACTTTTATCCTAATGAAAGAGATAGGTAAGTATAAATATACAATTATATAATACTTTATATACAGAAATACACACATAATCACTTTTTACCCTGGTATGGCAATGCAAAACATTCTTGCTTGATTTCCACAGCTATGTGCAATAGGCTAAACCCATGCATCTCTTTGCTACTGCAGTAACTAAAATATTTTTACATTAGTTTTCACCAGAGAATAATGTTGCAGTGAACATGAGAGTGCAGGTATCTCTTCAACATACTGATTTCATTTCCTTTGGGTTTTTACCCAGAAGAAGAATCTCTGCATCATATGGTAGTTCTATTTTTAATATTTTGAGTAATGTACACTCTTTTCCAAAATGGGGCACTAATTTACATTCCCACAACAATGTACCAGGGCTCTCTTTTCTCCCTACCCTCATCAACATTCGTTATCCCTTGTCCTTTTGATAAAAGCCTACTATTTGTGACAAAATGGATGAACCCAGAGGGAATTATGCTAAGTGAAATAAACCAGACACAGAAAGAAAAATACTGCATAATCTCATATGTGGAATCTAAAAAAGTCGAACACCACAGGGGCATGGAGGTAGAAGAAATAGGGATGTTGGTCAAAGCATACAAAGTTACAGTTACATGAAATGAATAAATCTAGAGATCTCATGTACAGCATAAGGTCTATAGTTAATAATACTGTATTGTATACTGGAAATTTTCAAAGAGTAGATTTCAGGTGCTCTTACTGCAAAAGAGGGTAATTATGTGAGGAAATGCATAATTTGCATGACTGTAGCAATCGTTTCACTATGTATATGGATGTCAAAACATGATTTGTACACTTTAAATATATACAATAAAAGAATTTCACCAAAGACATTCTTATTTTAGCACTAAATAGGATTTGCAATGAGATTTTTAAAAATTTGTCTAGCAAAATTATGACAAACTATCACTGAAGAAGTAGGATTTGAAAGTAGTTTAGACAGAAAGGTTGAATTCCACTGTTGATAAAGAAAATCAGTTCATATCACATGGCAATCTTGCCCATTCTGTGCAATATTCAAACATGGCCAAACACTAAGGGGTCCTGGCAAAAGCTCCTCTCCTTAACAGGCCACATTCTGTTTATAAACTGCTTAAGTTTCTTCAGTATGACACTTCATTCTGGAGTTGTTTACTGCCTTTAACAGAGTAAAATAACATGGCTTTGAATTCCCATTTCCCTCCCAGCTACTGATTTTCTATCTGAAAAGGATAATTAATGGAATTCACCTCCCTGGGTGTTGAGTTGATTGTATTTTTTGCAAAGGAAAAAATCTGGGAAAGGCCATGAGTGAAAAATCTTTCCAACTTGAAAATGCATTAGATTAAATGTGAATAAGTCTAAGTGCTGAAAAAAATAACAGTTTTTTTCCTGATTTCTCCTCATTTTTAAATTTGATAAAGTGGAAATAGCAGACCAAACTCAGCAGATACAATAAATAACTTATAATTGAGAAAAAACTCTTATTTAGGCTAAGCTTAAACACCTACTGTTTAGAAATTTCATAAATGACTATATATTTAAGTACTTTTTACAAATATGGAATCTTTAGTTTTCTTTTAGAGAAATGGGCAGTGGTAGGAGTGAGGAGAGGCAGATAGAAAAGAATAATGAGACTGTGGCTAAATTGGATAATACTATGCATTTAGAACATAATTTTGGTCACTTTCCCACAGGCTGGTAGATAATTTGTTCTATCAAATAAGCCTGTCATAAAACTCAGACCGTTACTAAAACCTTTTATTAAAAAACATCCAGTTTTGACAAAAGATAGCCTAAACCATGTCTGTTATTGAAACAATCTCTGAGTGAGAAAAACCATGTGTTTCGGACCTTGCTGGAATGGCATTCAAAACCCTTAGACCTGCAGCTGGCTCTGCCCTCCTCACTCTGTGACCTTGTACCCTTTTATCAGTTCTGTGAAGGGGATATTTTGGTGGTTATTAAACTGAAGAACAAACTCCTGCCTAGCTACATAACACCATGCTCCAAATTTTGCCCCCAAATTGCATACTGGCCCAGGTCCCTCTAATTGGTGTGGCTGCCCAGAGGATGAAGTCCTGATTCCTTGCATATAAGGCCCTTCATGTTCTGTCTCCTATGTGCTTCTCCAGCTACGATCCCCTGACACCTTCTGACACTCATCCTTAGCTCTGGCTTGTTCTGCAAACATGTCATGCAGTCTCATCCCTCTCTGCACTCACAAAGACTGGTTCTTCTGTCTGAAAATCCACCGCCCCCTTCCCTGAGTTCCCTATTTAGCTAACTCCAGTTTGCCATTTGGTGTCAAATCAGAATTTACTTCCTTCAGAAACATTCCTTTGATATACTAATAATAGTGTCTAGTATTTGCATATGATCATTGTTTATACTTTCCATCTCTCCCTTTAGACTGTGGGCTTCTTGAGGGCAGAAGCTAATTTATACTGCTAATACTTAGCTCAGTGCCCCAAGCTCATAGTAAACACTTAGGAAATACAGGGTAGTAACATTTTATGAAGGCCTTGCTGTGGGCTTCATATTCTGGTGATATCTTACATTGGCTAATCTTCCTCAATACAATTATTAAATGATAGACTTTCTTAAAACTTGGTCCTAGGCCCCTCTTCTCTTCTTACTGTATGCTCTCGCCCAACCCTCTCTCTTTCTTAATCACACATACCCATGGTTAGTTTATCTTCTATATAAAGCTGGTTCTCAAATCTATATCTCCAGTTCAGATTTTTTCTTAGCTCCAAAGCTTTATATCTGGTTGGCCCAATGACACCCCAAAACTCAAATATTCATGTATCCAAAATTAAACATTTGATTTTCCCCTCCCAAACCTGTTTCCCTCACTGATTGATACTCCTTTCCAAACAACTAGAAAAGCTAGAAGTCTTAGAGTAGTCTCAGACATCCTCCTCTTTCTCACCCCTTCCATATAGAATCGATCACCAAGTCCTGTCAATTGTTTCCTCAATATGTCTCCAGTCTATTTACTTATTTTTCCACAGTATTATCCTCTGAGCTACATCATTAGCCTAACTATTCTTCTTGTGTCATTTCTTGCTTTCTGTAGACTGTTGTTCATGCTGTAGCCAGGGTGATCTTGCCAAAACCTTATATATGATTATATCACCCCTTCTCCTGCTTAGGTCATTTCAATAGGTTTCAAAGGTCTTTCCATTGCCTATGAGGCTCTGCATGGATATCTATGCCTAATGATGTACTAACATCAGCTTCAACCTCATTATCTGGGCAAACTTGCTTTTCAGATTCATGTATGGCTTTGGCTTAGATATTTAAACACTGAACAGCCAAATATCTTCTTCAGCATTGAATTACTTAGCTTTTGCTGCAGGAGCCAATGACCCTCAGTTTTCAGTGGCTTACAACAATAAACATTTTCTTTTCATCTTACATGAAGGCTAATCGCTAGCTACAACTTTGCTGGCCTTAGCTGGGTTCAGCTAGCATCATGAATCTTCTGATTCAGGGACTGAAGATGAAAGAACTGCCATTCTATATGTACCCAATATAGGGGCACCCAGATATATAAGACAAGTTTTCAATGACTTATAAAGAGACTTGGACTCCCACACTAATAGCGGGAGACTTTGACACCACATTGTTAATATTCAATGGATCAATGAGATAGAAAATTAACAGAGACATTTATGATTTGAACTCAGACCTGGAACAAGTAAACTCAGTGAATGTTTATAGAATTCTACACCCCAGGTCCACAGATCATACATTTTTCTCAGTATCACATTACACCTATTTTGAAAGTGACCACATAAATGGAAGCAAATCACTCTTCAGCACTTGCACAGCATTTCACAGATTTAAACGAAATATTGGTTGGCTGTTTGTTTGTTATTTTCTTTCCTATTCCTTCCTGTCTCCGCTGTTAAGCACAATCATCAGCATAAAAGAGGTTTTTAATACCTATTTCTAGATTGCATTCCAGCCTGGGCAATAGAGCAAGACTCCTGTTCTCTCTCCCCCTTTTCTCTTTCCCTTTCTTTCTTAAAAAAAAAAAAAGAAAGAACTGCCATTCTGTTGGGCACGTGCTTCTCTTTTTGGAAGTCAAAACTCAAGAGAGACAGAGCCAAATGATGAAAAGATATTTAAAAGTCTGCTCTGATGTAAGGTATATCATGCCCATTGTATTAGTTTTCTATTGCAACATTACCACAAACTCAGTGGCTTACAACAACACATATTTATTACTTCACAGTTTCTGTGGGTCAGAAGTCTAGGCATGACTTAACTGTGTCCTCTATTTAACAGTTTCACAAAGCTGCAATCAAGGCGTCAGCCAGGCTGCAATCTCATATGAAGGTTTGACTGTGGAAGAATTACTTCCAAGTTCACTTATATTATTGGCAGATATCATGGCTATAGAGCTAAGAGCTGAGGGCCCTGCTTTCTGACTATCAGCTGAAGACTACCTTCAGATCCTAAAAGCCACCCTCACCTCCTAGTGGCTGTCCACAGTTCCTAGATGCTGCTCAGAGTTCCTAGAAGCCTTGCCGTAGTTCCTTACAATATGGCAACACGTCTGCTTACTTCATCAACCTAGTAAGGAGAGTATCTAAAGTGAATCTGATAGTAAGATTAGATCTTATACAATGTAGTGTAATCACAAATAAGACATTTCATTACCTTTGCCATATTCTCTCATTTAGATGCAGGTCACAGGTCTCATCACACTCAAAGGAAAAGGACTATACCAGGGCATGAATACTAGGAGGTGAGGAATATGGAGGCCATCCTAGGGTCTGCACATCACATCTACTTGCATTCTATTGACTAAAGTAAGTCACTGACTCGCCAGTCCTAAGGACAATGGGACAGTAATGTATACTCTACCTGTAGGGTGGGGAAGAAATGAATAATTTTTAACAAATAGTACAATCTTCCAAAACCATTATTTCTAACATTAAGAATGTGCATAATCAATGATCAGGTGGTCCTCTAGGCTACTGCATAATAATGACAGTAATATGAATAATGGAAGTCATTTGGGGTTATTAATATTTTAATATTCACTTTGAAAAATAGTTAAGCATTCTAGATAAAACTGGAGAGAAAATCTCTTATGTTCTATATGTTTCAATTATATCAATCAGTCAAAAATAAATATATAGCTATTCTTGCAAGAATAAAATACAATAATGGTGATTTTAAGAACTGTTAAATTTATCTCCATAAAACTTAACTTCCAAATAGTTAAATATGGAAGTAGCTTGGTAGTTAATATGAATTATGGGAGTATACACTCACTAAATAACCTTAGGGAGACTATTATATAATTTGGAGACAGTAAGTCTTTTAAAACTTATATAATAGAGATCCAAGTATATTATAATTTTAAACTGTAGACTTGTTTGAGGTATTAGCATTCACAACAGTAACCAAAATAACCTTTATGTACTTACTACATTTTAGTTAATAATTTCATGATTCCTTTAGGAAAAAATATTATTTGGAAATTTTCACATTTTATAAGGATGACTTAAAACCGGTGTGTCAACTTCGTCAATCAATTTTTTTAAGGAAGAAAAATCTCCAAAATGGAGGTTAAGAGAATCTTTCCAAAGGAAGTAACAATTCAGTTAAAACCTGAAAGAAGTAGCTAGGCAAAAGTGAAGTGAAGAAGAGGAGGGAACAATCCAGGTAGAGGGAGTGACATTTAAGAGACCAAGAATGCTGAATACAAGTCAAAGGGGTTGAAGTGCTGAGGTGTATTCCTCTACTATGCTAACACAACTAAATGGCTTTCCATGACTCACATTTCCTATCTCAAAGTTTTTCCGTGTCAAGGAACAGCTTAGCTGGGTCCTCTCTAAGACTGCAGTCAAGGTCTTAGCCGGGGCTGGGCTCTCATTTAGAGGCTTGATTAGGGAAGGGTCCACTTCCACGCTCACTGCAGTTCTCAGCAGTTTCTTTCCTTGTGGCTTAAAGACTTATGGCAGGCTGCTTTTCCCAAACCAGCAATGGAGAGAGAAAGACTTTAAAATCTGCTAGCAAGATGGAGTCATATATTGTCATCACAGGAGTGACATTCCAGTCACCTTTGCCATATTCTACTGTTTAAAATCAAGCCACACATCCCACTCACACTCAAGGAGAGGGGATTATACAGGGGTGTGAACACCAGGAGGTGGGGATCATAAAGACCACCTCAAAAATTGTCCCCCACAGAGAGGCAAAGTGGTACAAGATAGGTGGTAGAGGTTCACTTAATCTGCAGTTTAGCCAAATGATGCTTGGCTAGGTATCAAAATCAATATTAAGCAAAAGCTAAGGCCAGATCCAAAAATCTTCATTATATACTGGAATCCTAGTATACAGGCATAAATTTGAAAATATGTCAAAATATTAATCATAACAAATTTATTATTACAATGATAGTAGCCAATTTTGTACAGTTTATTATTACAATCTGGAAACAAAATTTCCAAGTACTATTACACCGACTACCACACGGTTGATCTTTCCTTCATAGCATTTTTACATCCACAACTCTGTATTTACTTGTATGAATTCTGTGCTAAACTGTAATCTCCAAGAGAGCAGGAGCCTGTGCCCAGTTGTGCATAGTAGTACTTTTCATGGAATAGGATTTTTTTGGCTCTGATATTCCCTTCGATCCTACCCATCCTCCCCCAGGAGGCTTTAGCATCATTAAATTGCTTCAAAGTGATTCTATCAAAGGTATTCATTAAATGACAAGAGAAGGGTTTGGAACGAGAGAGTTCACTTTAAAATTTTTAAATAATTGTATGCATCTTACACTAAAATTAACTCCAGATGGATTAAAGATTTAAACCTAAGACCTAACACCATAAAAACCCTAGAAGAAAACCTAGTCGGTACCATTCAGGACACAGGCATAGGCAAGGACTTCATGACTAAAACACCAAAAGCATTGGCAACAAAAGCCAAAATAGACAAATGGGATCTGCACAGCCAAAGACACAATCATTAGAGTGAACTGGCAACCAACGGAATGGGGAAAAATCTTTGCAATCTACCCATCTGACAAAGGGCCACTGTCCAGAATCTACAAAGAACTAGAGCAGATTTACAAGAAGATTTGGAAACAACCTAAATGTCCAACAGTGGGACAATTGGGTGGTTTTTTTGTTTTTTTGTTTGAGGCAGGGACTTACTCTGTTGCCCAGACTGGAGTGCAGTGGCATAATCATAGTTCACTGCAGCTTCAAACTCCTGGACTCAAGCAATCTTCCTGCCTCGACCTCCCAATGTGTTAGGATTACAGGCATGAGGCACTGTGCCTGGCCCTGGAATTGTTACATATACCACGGTACATTCAATCTATGCAGGGAGAATGGATGTTACTTCTTTGTTTATTAAGTAGTTACCTTCTCTAGGACACAGAAATCAAACGAGGCTGTTGCCCAAGCAGTACTACATGCATTTCCTAATAATAAGGTGGCAAACAACTAATTCAAACATAGCTGTGTTCAAACTAGTTCTACCAACCTTGAATGACCAAATGGAGGTCTACCTATCCTGAAGCAGTGGTTCTCAAATGTGGTCCTTGAAGCAACAATGGCAACATCATCTGGGAACATGTTAGAAATACAAGTTTTTAAGCCCCAACCCAGAACTACTAAATCAGTAAATATGAAATTGGGACCCAGCACTCTGTTTTAACAAGCCCTCTAGGTGATTCTGATGTACCCTCAAGTTAGAGACCCAAGACCCTTGGTTATTTTGCCTCTGACCACAAGGTGGCAACCTTTGTCTAAAGTCCTATGAGTTGCCTAATGGTTACAGTAGGTATTATCTGGTCTAGCCACTGAACTGTCCAGAGGCAGTAAGTAGTGATAGGATATGGGGATGTGAGGAAGAAGTGAGAGATTGGAGAGGAAGAAAAGAGATGAAAGGAAGAATGAGTACTGGAAGAGGCTTTACCTCTGCTTTGAACACAGCAATAAACTACAGTGAGGGGGTGGGACAATGTTCGGGAGTGGTTGGTTGTTTATCATCTAACGATTCAGCTCATTCCGGGTACAAAATAATGTGAAGTAATGTTGGGGAGTTTGTGAGTAGCCAATTTCATCTGTGCGTTTTATCCTTGTAATCCCTAGACACTACCCAAAGGCAAGCACCTCCTCACACTATCACCTATCCTCTTCCTACTCTCATAATTATGAATTCCTTCCCCAGTTATCTTCCATCACAGATTCCTCTTCTTTCCACAATTTTCCCTGGTGCCCTGTTGCACAGTATAATAAGCTCAGCCTATGAAAATATACAGAAATGTTGTCATCCTTCTTATTTGAACATTTCCTGTACATCTGTAATTGAGACCTGGCACCCTGCTGAAGATTCTGCTTCCCATACCGCCCTCTGTGATGAAAATTGTTAATTTTCTCAATCCCCATAATTTATAGGGTTTGACCAAGAGGAATAGAGGGTAGGAAAATGCAAAGAGAAATCTTAAAGGAGGATAAACGTTTCTCAGCTCTGGAAATGGTATCCTTGCAGACGTGTAACCCAGCACCTTAACTTCTCAGTTCTGTCGAATGCTTCAATTCGACTTCACTTCAACTACTGTCACCCAGGACCACACAGTGGATGTTTTCAACATTTAGAGGAAATTCACATTGTAAATAATTTTTGAATTATTTATCTTTTCCTTTCCCATTTTCTACAAAATAGATTGAATTTTCTTCTTTTGATTTACAAATTATACCTGTCATTTTGGTTCTTACTGTAGTTGCCCTTAACTAACAAACGCCCATGTTAATTTAACCATATTAGTTTCTTAAATGTATCAATATCTACATTTTTCTCTTAACATTACAAGTACTTGAGAATGTTCTCATGTTCTTTGGGTCTCACCACACCTTCCTTATCACTTTGACAATGTTTAAAAATATTTTTTCTGAGTTACTATGGATATATACTTTTTCTTCTTTTCTGCTCAGTATTGTCAGCAATAAACTATACCACCAATGTATACTCCTATATTTCCTCCTTTCTAATTTGAAGACCTCCTCCAAAATTGTCTTCAGCGAGGGTCTTTGTGTGGCAAACCTTCTCAGATAGTGTATGCTACAGAGTATCTTTATTGCTATGCTACATTTAAATTATAAAATGGGCCAGGCACGGTGGCTCATGCCTGTAATCCCAGCACTTTGGGAGGCCGACGCAGGTGGATCACTTGAAGTCCGGGGATCAATACCAGCCTGACCAACATGGTGAAACCCCGTCTCTACTAAAAATACAAAAATTATCCAGGCGTGGTGGTGTATGCCTGTAATCCCAGCTACTTGGGAGAGTGAGGTATGAAAACGGCTTCAACCTGGGAGGTAGAGGTTGCATTGAGTCAAGATCGCAGCACTGCGTTCTAGCCTGAGCAACAGACTGAGACTTCATCTCCAAAAATAAAGAAAAATAATTTAAAATAGCTGAATATAAAATTATAGGTTCAAAGTCATTTTAAACATTATAGGTGAAGTCCTTTAAAAATATTACTCAGTTGTCCTCTTGTATTCAGTGTTGCTAAAAGTCTGTTGTCAATTTAATTCCTTTCTTTATAGAGGACTTGATTTTTCTCTCTGGAAACTTTGAGAAGTTTATTTTTAAACTCTATGATTGTGTATGTGTGTGTGTGTGTGTGTGTGTGCACATGCATGCACTTTACCTTCTCTGTATTAGTCTATGTCAGCCTCACTGTGTTTGAAGAGTAAGGAAAGGAGAGCCCCAAATAGTACAGAACATGTTAATCATTCCCATTTGCTGCCACTCTATAAGCAACTGCTGTGATCAAGGCTTCATCTTAAAACTTGTTTGAAAGAAGCAATGCTAGGAGGTATCAGTGTCCCAGGTGGTAGTCCATCAACTTTGGGGACTTGAAAAGGGTGGAGGAGTGAATGAACAATGGAGCAGGGGAGTCCCCACCGTTTTCAATAGCCTCCCACTTCCCAATCAAGCAGGGCTTTTTGCTGCCCTGATATACTCTAATACACCCTCCATACACTGATAACTGTGTGGTTGGAGATATTTCTGCTAATTTCTGTAGTGAAGGGTAGATAATGTAGGTAGGCAATTGGAGAAGAGACAAGAATAATTTTTTGTAAGCTTTCCTTAAATTTATCCTCTCACTGCTGCCTCCAACTATCCTCTATTCCAGGCTACAAAAGAAAACCACCCAGCAATGCAGATTGAAGCCACTACAAAGAGATAGCTTGTTTTCTCAGCTGGACCGTCAACATCATTTAGTTATCATTTTACTTGTCAGTTCCCTCTCCCATTCTTTCAGTGCCTATTAAAATGTCCACTTGTACTCCTCAAACCTCTCCAATTCCTTTTACTTTCAGCAGTGGGCTGTTTATTTTGCACAACTTCAGAGGCACCCTCTCATATGTGAATAACAGCTCTAATATACAACATAAAATACTGAGAATTACAACTCTACTGTTATGCTGTGGTGCAGCCCTGCAAGGGCTTTGAGTCTTACTTCAAAGGAAAATGAAGACAATAAAATGACAAAAAAGAAAACTATAGGCTAATCTCTATACCCAGTGAAAGTATTTCTCAGGAAACAAGTGGAAATCAAGACATTCTCAGACAAAGAAAAACTAAGAGAATTTGTCACTAGTATCCCTTTGCTATGGCTAAAGTAAGTTCTTGAAACATAAAAAAGTTATAAAAGAATGAATTTGAGGACATCGGGAAAGAAGAAAGAACAATAGAAGACTTAAAATATGGATAAATGCAGTAGACTTTCCTTCTGCACTTACGTTTTCTAAATTACATTTGATAGTTGAAATAAAAGGTATAATACTGTCTGATGCAGTTCTTAATGTATGCAGAGGAAATATTTGAGAAAATTATAAATGGGGGAAAGAATAAGAATTTAAAGGGATATGAGATTTCTATATAATGTAATGCTTAAAACAACTACTGAAAAATTCATATGAAAAGATACACTCGAGAACACTAGAGATGAATCAAAGCCAATTTAAAAAAAATATTGAAGTGATCCAAAGGAAAAATAAAACAGAGAAATGAAAAGCAAAGGGAACAAACAGAACACACATGCACACACACACACACACACACACACACACACACACAACCAAAATGGAAGACTTAAATCCTGATGTATACAGTTACATTAAAATGTAAATGGTCTAGGGACTTTGATCCAGACAAGAGGACATAAACTCATCTCTTTCTACTTCTCTTTGCTAAGTATAACTATAACATAACACAAGAGGCAACCATAGGAGGACTCTGAATGGTAGAAAGAAGATGGACTGGCTAGGGACCCTAGTACTGGAAGAACAACATAGCAGTTGTGCATCTTACCACCCTTCACCCAGAAACAGAAGGCAAATAGGCCTGGCATCTGCTGACCCTAACATATTAGATAAAGGTTACGCAGGTAGGCTCATGCCTTCTCCCGATCAGTTGGGAGTCCTGCCAATTACTTCAGTTGGGCCCAGTGGCACTGGCAAGGGTCACCAAGTAGGCGCCCCAGTAATGATAAGTGACCAGAGAAAGTGCATTTCATTCTTATGGGCCAGAAAGTTTCTTTTCTCACCTAGAGACACCCAGTGGCCCCAGTGGCATGAGCAGGGTGATCCCACCACAACAACTAGTCCTGCCTGGAAAGCATTTTTTGTACTCTATGGATTGGAAACTCTATTCACCCACCTAAAGACACTGGAAGGCCTAGCTGCACTGAAAGGGGGTGATTCCCCCACAAAAAGTGACCAAATAAAGGAATACAAGGCAGTGTTTTCCTTCTGATATGAAATGTCCAGGAAAGGACAATGAAAACAGGTTTCCTGAAATTGAGGATTCATGGAACTGGGGGTAGGGGAAAATGTTCTAAAACTGGATTTGATGGTTTCATAACTCTATAAATTTACTAGAAATTATTTAAATGTGTGCTTATAATAGGTGAATTTTGTGGTACATACCTCAATAAAACTTTTTAAAAATGACTCATAGCTAACTAGGAATGGAAGGAACTTCCTTAATCTAGTAAAGTATATCTATAACTAACATCATACTTAATATACAAGAATGAATACTTTTTCTTTAAGACCATGGAAAAGACAAGCATCTCTATTGTCACCACTCCTATTTAATATCATATTGGAAATTTTACCTGCTGCAAAAACACAAGAAAAATAAATAAAACACATATAGAATATAAAAGAAGGAATAGAACTATCTCTATTTACAGACAACAAAATTGTCTCTGTGGAAAATTCCCTAGAATCTACAACAGAACTATTAAAACTAACAAATGAGTTTATCAAGGTCTCTGAATCAAAGGTCAATATACAAAAATTAATTGCATTTCTATATATTAGCAATGAACAATTAGAAATCAAAAGTTTTAAAAAATAGTACAATTTTTAACTATCATAAAAAATGAAATGCTTAGGTAGAAAACTAACAAAATATGTTCAAGATATATATACTAGAAGCTATAAAACATATATGAAAGATGTGAAAAACTAAATAAATGGAGATATGAGCCATGTTCACAGATTGGAAGATTCAATATTGTTAAGATATTAATTGATCCATAAATTGAATGCAAACTTAATTAAAATCAGCAGGATTTTTTTTCTAGATATTAACCAGGTGATTCTTAAATTCATAGAGAAAGGCAAAGAACTAGGATGTCCAAAATAATTTTCAAAATGAATAAAGTTGGAGGATTCAAAGTATCTTATTTTAAGACTTACTATTAACTATATCAACACAGTGTGGTATTTGGAGGAATTACTCTATTGGATGTTAAGGCTTATTCAATTATAAAAAAGTCAAGGTGATTATTGTATTAGCAGAGGGATCAGCACATAGATCAATGGAAAAAATAGAGAACAAGAAGCAGTTCAGCACAAATACAATCAACTGATTTTTGACAAAAATTCAAAGGAAACAAGAGAAAAGGTAGTTTTTCAACAAATTGTGCTAGAATATTTGGACATCCATACATATATTTTTTAAATGAACCTGAATTATTTTTATACAAAAATAAACTAAAAATGGTTCATAAGGCTAAATTTAAAATGTAAAACTTATAATATTTTGAGAAGAAGAAATAGAATTGTTGTGACCTTGGTTTAGACCAAGAGTTCTCAGATACCACATGAAAAACACGTTATAAGAGTAAAAATGTGTGTAATCCCAGCACTTTGGGAGGCTGAGGAGGGTGGATCACGAGGTCAACAGATCGAGACCATCCTGGTCAACATGGTGAAACCCCGTCTCTACTAAAAATACAAAAAATTAGCTAGGCATGGTCGTGCGTGCCTGTAATCCCAGCTGCTCAGGAGGCTGAGGCAGGAGAATTGCCTGAACCCAGGAGGCGGAGATTGCGGTGAGCCGAGATCGCGCCATTGCACTCCAGCCTGGGTAGCAAGAGCGAAACTCCGTCTCAAAAAAAAAAAAAAAGTAAAAATTTGATAAACTGGGCCTCATCAGAATTAACATATTCTTCCCTGTGAAAGACATTATTAAGATAATGAGAAGACAGGATACATAAAATATTGGTAAAACTCATATTTGATAAAGGACTTGTATCCAAACATATAAAGAACTCTTAAAACTCATCAATAAGAAAACAACTCAATTTAAAAATGGGCAAAAGATATTAACAGCCAAGTCGTCATAGAAGATATACAGATGGCAAATAAGTAAGCATAAGAAGAGATGATCAACATCATATGTCATCAGGGAATTTCAAATCTAAACAACAATGAGATACCACTGCACACCTTTTAGAATGGCTAAGATCCAGAAAACTGACAGCACCAAATGCTGGCAAGGATGTGGAGCAACAGGAATTCTCATTCGTTGCTGCTGGGAATGCAAAATGATACAGCCACTTTGGAAGACAGTTTCATAGTTTCTTACAATGATAAAAATAGTCTTGCCATACAATCCAGAAATCATGTTCCTAGGTATTAGCCAACTGACTTGAAAATTTA